CGCCCACCGATGACGTAGTATACTTGAAATAGTGGCTCTGCAGCAGGTTTACTCGACATTGAGAAATAGGGTGTTTCTCAATGTCGAGTATGCTTGCTTGGTAGCACATGTCTTCCGAGCGTCTTGCTTCAGAAGCGAGGCAAGAATACTTCCTGGCATTCGGAAAACGAAGAGTGGAACAGGCGAGCAAGTGTGCAGGTGTTTCGTCATATGAGAGGCCCCGCCTTACATTTTCCACCATAGATTTGGGGAAATTGGTCCGTGCGCAAAGCACAGTCTACACATGTGCAGCCTCGAAATGTCTCCAAACGAAGTACGCCGGGCTCGGTAGAATTCCAAGTATGCTGGACATTGGAACAGTACTTCGGCGGCACTCAATGACGTAGTATGCTTGAAATAGTGGCTCTGGAGCAGCTTTACTCGAGATTGAGAAACACCCACGGCCTCTGACTGCCGCTAGCTGAAGCTTGGTTGCTAGGTTACTAGCTGGGTGTTCTCCGATAAGGGGCCGGGGGAAACAAAGTTGTTGATTACTGGTTCCATGTTGATTTATTTCAATACAAATTGTTGGGGTGAACTGAAAGGCTATTACCGTACTGGTTACTTTGCAGCCCGGAAATTTCCCCCAAAACACATTTAGACGCGATCGCCACACAGAAGTACCTTTCAAATCCCATCATTTTTAAGACCTTCTAAATCATATCTAAGACCTTTCTAATTTTTTTGATTATATTTAAGACCTTTTAAGACCCCGCGGGAACCCAGTAAATATAAAACCTGACTTTCAGCAACTTCCTGTAATATTCAAAGGACAAAGAATCTTTTAATTTATGAAGATTTTTGCCTGAAGTCGGGGCTAGCAGGGAGTGGGATGATTGGAAAAAGATTACATGTTGTGCTCTGCTTTCACAGAATTGTCAATTAACAGATATTTAGTTCCCTTGTTTAAAATGCATTAAAAAATAATCTTGGGAAACAAAAAACTGCAGTTTGGGGAAGAGCAGATGATTACCTGGGTTCCATGCGAACTGCTCCATGTTCCTGAGACAGACGATGAGCAGGAGGACGTAGCTGGTGAACCGCTCCTTTATATCTGCAGGACAAAGTAAAGACATGTGGTTAAAGAGGCACCACCATTTAAGACAGAAATCAAGAGTGTTGCATTGGTTCGTATTAGGTATCCTCATACTTTAGATATGCGTTCCAGCGGGTGGTGTTAAGGGAGGTGTGAAAGGAGGTTTTAAAATTAGATCCGTCAGTTCTACGTGCGAGGTGCTTTGAGAAAGGTCTCTGTTCATACGTTACAGCAGCATCACAGTCACAAGGCTTTCAGAGTGATCACAGTACATGTTTCAAACGTCAGTGTCGAACAATTTAAAGACTGAGCTGCAGAAATGTAGCATGCCATTATATATGCTAATTATGACCACGCTTGGCTCCATACTCAGGAATGATGTGAGAGAACAGTGAGAGGTAAATTGCAGCTGATTAAGGCTCCTCGTCTTCTGCTGTCATTAAAATATAATAAGAGCAACAAATTAAAAAAAAAACACATTCTGCCTTAGGGAATGAAAAGAGAAACGCACAACACAGTCAACATCTCTGTGTTGTGCGAATAATATCAGAGCTAAATCTGTAGATACATTGTATGCAAGTAACATCGTAGTTATATCAAGGCGCTTGTCATTTTAATATGTTTTGCTTTCAGTTTGATGCTTCGAATATGCATTGAATATCTTACCACTGTTAGACATTTGGAACAAGTTGTTCTTCTCAAATTTCTTGAACACACTTCCTTTGATTTCCACAAACTGTCATAAAGAAAAACACAAAGAACAAAGAAAGGAATACAGTTAGCAGTATTTAGGATCCAGAATATACAAACAGACCCCATTATCATGTTGCAGCTGAATTTAAACGTTTCATCTCCAGTGGGCAAAGTTGAATTTTTCTACGGAACATCTGCATACATATTATCGAAGTTAAATGTAGCACGTCCGCTTATATTTTGTTGCAAAAGTTTATCTGCTTAACCTGTTAAGCCCCATAGCCCCCGCGGACACCCTGTTGACATTTTCACGAAACTGTATCTCAGGGCTTCTTAACATTTAACAACCTATTAATGTGTCATACCCACTTAACGGTAAGAAACTCAGCTAACAGACGATGAACAATTTTTACCGAAACAAAACACAACTCTAACGCCAAGCGTCTGAATTAGCACTAAGCGAAAGAGTGCTAACCCACTTAGCACATAACTCACGGTAGAAATATTTTATACTTATTTTATACTACATCGGATCTTCACAAACAAGATATCATATGAAAGCTGAGATTCCAAAACTCAGGGCAGCGAAAGCAAGCAAAGACAACACACAACTTCTCTTTACGTGGCCAAAACAGCAAATACGTCTTACCTTTGCTGTTTTTCTGATCAAAAGTTGTGTTCAATGGCATTCAAACGCATATAAATGCTGCTGAAGGTTAATCCAATGTCTCTGTGTCCCTTCGAAATGATTACTGATAATCCATCATAACATTTATGTCCATAAACAGAGTGTTCATATAGAGTGTATTAGAGCTTCCGGTTTTGGGCATTCTGGCTACGCATCACTCTCATTCACCAATGGGTAATGTTTAGATGGATTTAGGAACTTCCCCTCGATTCTATTGGCTCTAACGGTTCAAAACAGGTGTCAATCATCAAAATCGACCGATGGGTTCCAAAGATGTGGAAAATGCACCCAAATGTGTTTTTTTTTTGCTAAATCTCTCTAAAAAGGTCAAATGTCACTTGTTTTGCATCAATCTTGATACAGGGTACTTATATGTTACAGTTTGGATTCCTAAAGCTTTTAGTCTACTCTCCCATCATTCAAGGGTGGTTTTCACTATAAGTAATGGGTTTCTTTGGACGGAAACTATAATTTTTTTTTTTTTTTTACTATGTTCAATCTGAATTTACTTTAAAAAAAAAATAAAAAATCAACATTGATTCTGACTCTTCTACATCCAACTCACAGGTTTATCATTGCTTTGAGAAAAAAAAAATGTATTGACCCCTTTTGTTCTGGGAATGTCATTTCCGAGCCTGAGACCTGAAAAATAGGCTCGCGGCTGAACAGGTTAAACAATCAGGCAGATTGTTGCACATTAATGTGTAATTACGTGCGTGCGTGCGTGCGTGTGTGTGTGTGTACTGACGTTGTTGGACATCATGATGGTGAGCAGGGACTTGTTGTGGGAGTTGAAGGCGACGTTGAGGGTGGAGGCTTGGACCATGATGAGGATGGCATGCAGAACTGAAGAACAGCAGCTCAGGAAAACAAATTTAACAAACATTCAGCACTGAACAACACTGCATTCAAATGTAATTAAATGTATGCTTCTTAGTCGTTAGACAGAACACATAATACAAATAACTACAAGTTTCCTTTGACGTATCCTGCCAGCAAGACCCATATACAAAATGTATACATGTCTGTTTGTCTTGATTATCTCAGCAGGAAGGCAATCCAGCAGAAATAATATAAGAACAAATGGTGTCTGTCAAGCAAGTGATGCAGGCTTAATTTATCTTTTTAGTGGTCACTTAGCTCACAAAGAAAGTAGTTAGAAGCATTTCATGACACTGTGGCTACATGTCATTTGTCAAATATAAACACTGAGGAAAGACGTCAAATATCAAATCGCATATGAAAAATTGACATTCATCTTTCTGTTGAACAAGAAGGATACAGACATAAAAGACGGCCATGAAGAAGTGAGGAATGACTCCTATACTGTCTCTCTTCCGCTCTTTGGGTTCTGTGGCCGTCCAGTAGAGAGCGTCCAGGATGTCTTGACCGAAGGACGAAAAGAGGCGGTCAGCCACCTTACAGAAAAAACAACATATTATTAATAATGACAACAATATGTTTGATTCACTTACTTTAACCTACTGGAATACGTCTTACTATGTTTTCAAGGTTTTTGGATCTTATGTTCTTATTAGATAAGATCACACCTTATTTACATTGTATGCCGTTTATTATAGGTCTTATCAATCTGAGCCAAATGACTGTTCACAACAACAAATCTGACATTATATCAAATCAAAGTAGATTCAAACTAAACCAAACAAACAGTCTGACGTTTATTGCTAAATCAATGATTTCCTAGTAATTCAGAAATGTACTTGAAGGCTGGACCCACCCATGTTTAAGAATGCAAGATGTTAATTCAGCACCAAACACGAGATGTGAGTGTATGAAGAGTGCCGTACCTCCAGCATGTTGTAGATGATGTACAGTTTGATGACGGACTGTCCTCTGATCAGGTGGTACATCATGGAGTAATCCACATAATGCATCATGGAGAAGCACAGCACCATGATCAGACCCTTCAGCACGTCACACACCTGCGCTGGCTGCAGCAGCCGAGACCCACTGACCACACACACACACACAGAAACACACACACACACACACACACACACACACAGACGGACTTATAAACGTACAGTTGCTGTATTGATTATAGAAACACGTTAAACCAAGCTTTTGGGAAAAAATGTCCGTACTTGAACACATACTACATGCTGTTAATAGGCGCTTTCACACCAAGTACTTTTCCCAGGAATAGTTCCAGGAGCTTTTATTTCCCCGGAACTATCTAGTAGATCGCGTTCACACCGGATTAAGTCCCTGAGGGAGGATTACGCAAATGAAGCAAACCCCCAGGAAATGCACCGGACTCTATGCCAATATTCGTTGTTTTCCAAACGGCGGTACTGCAATTTCCGTATCAGTCCGTGACGTCACCCGGCCCAAAACAACTTTTTCCCATTGACAAACATGGGGAAAGAGACGTCTGTAAATCGGTGGATTTTTTTTTTTAACTAAATAAACTACCCAGTATGAACTATTTTATAGCCCTTATTAGAATCATTCGGTCCTTAAAGTTGTAAAATGTACTATATTTATTTTATTTTATTCTACAATTATTCTACTGAGCCGAGAGTGGGAGCTCGGGGGGCGGGGCTTAAGGGGCGCATGCTCTGTGACTGCACATACGGGTTCTTCTGCTCTGACAGCCAGGCATGACGGGTAATCTGTGACGTTGGGCCATTTTGTCTTCATGCGCCAATGAGCAACTCTCATAGGAAAGAACGAGACCCCGCCTCCCACGCTGTATCCAGTTCTTATTATACATCCATGAAATGAAGCCGCTGACGCAAACAACTTCACGGCGTATAATGCCACCCGAAGTCCCGGAGCCCCCCGGAGTCCGGGGCTTTGGCTGGCAGTAAATCGCCACCCGAAGACCCGGGTAAATTGCCAGAAGCGCCGACACCTCCTCATCACTCCACCGATCCCACGTTTTATTTTGTGTTGCCATAAGTTAGTCTCTCTCCGTTGGTGTGCTGGGCTAATGCTAATGCTAATAATGCTAATGCGAGGAAATAAAATGGCGGCTTCACAACAACTTTTCAGAGTTTTACGGCACGTGGTTTGCAATTCGCCCAGCCAATCAGAAATTGGAACCTTTTTCTCCCCAGGAAAGTCCCTGCTCTCTAGCAGGGAGTAAAAAGGGGGTGAAAGGTTCCCGAAAAAAAAGATATTTTTGGTGTGAACGCAACATCCCAGGAACTATCGGAACTATTTCTGGGAAAAGTACTCCGGTGTGAAGGCGCCTAATGCAGTATATCCATAAGTAGTGTAATCTTTAACATGCATATTACCTAATATTAGCAATAAAAAGTGTGATTTTTCAGATGCAATATACAGGTATGCTGACAAACAAACACACACACATATTTGGACCAAATAAAAATAGACTGCAACAACAGAAGGTCGAGATATACAGATTCTAAAATTCATTTCGGTTCAAAATGACATATTCCAAATAAAGGAAAGGGCTACAACTATCGATAACAAAAAAGCCACAATGTGATATATTAAAGTTAGTATCTCCTTTATATAACATGTTATCTCATTCATAACAGTTATCTCCTTTTCATATGTCCTTTTCTGTGGCTCTGCTTTTATACACATTATATCTTTGTTGATCTGCCAACCTGACTACAGCACACCGACAAAGACTCATATGTATTTGCGTATCTTTCTGTAGGGACATTTTCCATTTTGGACAGAAATGGTGTAGGGTGATCAAAGTAAATGGAAGAAAAACGGGTAATAATGTTTTTGAAACATATGCAGCTTTCATTATTAATAGCAATGGCTGGCAGTGGCAGCTTGAGAGCATGTTAAGAGGAGGGCTGACAAATCCATACGAGCGGTTATTTACTGACAGGGATAACGAGAGGAGCCGGAGAGAGAGCTTAACTCTGAGACATGCTGCATATTTTACATGTCAGCTCTGGAACTGGACTTTACATCCACAAACATCGAGTACAGCGGGAAGAAAAGGCTTCTCACTGACCATAACTCAATAATCCAGTATTCACAAACAGTATGGTTTTCAAACTGAGAGGTAACATCTATCTGCTGATATGGGTGTTTAAACAGGATTCAGAAGAATAACACTGCGTTTTGCTGTTGGCTGTTTATTCTACCACATTACCACAAAGACTATCATTTCTCTCTCTAGATAATCACAGTTGGTCTATAGCACACAGTAGCTGTCGGTGGTTGGCACGCTCATAGTTTGGAAAGACAGACAGTAGTAAAAACACTATCCAGCATACTGCTCTGAAATGAGGAAGCAGAAAAAAACTTACCAAAAAATCCATATAATTTCAAGTGTATGCTTTATTTACAATATTTTCTCTTTACCTTGCCAGTCGACAGACTTCCCAAAAGGAAATTAAAGCCATTATAACCATCTAAGCTCTCTTCAAAACTTCCAGACTCCATTGACAAAAAGTAATTTAACATGATAGGAGTTGCTGGTCTGTCTGGCAGATTTGAAAGAAATATAGATTTCGGCTTTACTCCCCGTTAGAAAGGGCTGTTTTGGGTGGCTAAACTAACTTTTGCTGCTGCCACCATCAACATCAGAACATTGCTTAGCTTCTGTAATGTAGCTTTGAATGCTTCTACAAGCTGACTGTTATCTATTGTAGGTTTTCATTGACTATGGCTAAGAACCCAAAACAACCACCATTGCTCTTTAGGTACAAATTCTTCACTAAATGACTATAAACACAGATTAATACTTGACTAACTCCCTAGAGCACAACACAGGGCGGACAACAGTCAGTGAGCTACTCTAACAGCTGTTATTACCGTAATCAATTCAAACAGTTGTTGGTTTGTCTTGCATTACAACAACAGGGCTACTCCTCCTCAACCCTTTACACTTTTTTTAAACACGAGAGGAAATTAATCAGTTTTAGATGGGAGAAAAAGGGGGCTTAAGGGTGTCGAGATGTGAACTATTTTAAGAGCAAAATCCAAGCTAAGAGAGAGAGAGAGAGAGAGAGAGAGAGAGAGAGAGAGGAGGAAATGGCGTGAGTTTAGGAAGACGTCTAAATGAGCTTAATAGAGTGTCCTCTGAACTGTGTGCAGCTGAGCACAAAGCTGTGGAGAGAAAGACATGAGATGAACATCTGGGCCTTTTGTCCGAAGCATGAAAGACAACGATTTCCTTTGTAAACAAGGAATAATTAGGGTTTTGATTGAATACACTTAATTTATTACCAGGTTACACTGATGAGGTGTATTTACATGTAGTCAAATCCATTTACCTTTATTATTTTCTCTCATATCTACACACATGACAACGGAAAGATTCCATTTAAACGGCACCATCTAATATCAGGAGTGGCTTCTTATGATATTGACATTTTCACGGGGTTTCCTGAAGCTACAGCGCCATCCAGTGGACACGTCTGAAGACATTCATGCAAACAGGCATGGTACAGGATAATGACTAAACCATTGAAATGTTCTTGTTTTGTGGTTCAGTGCTCAATGTACAACCATAAACCAGAGATATATAAATAAGGGAGCTAAGAAACATTATGTGGTGGCAGAATATAAACGATTCAGTATAAACATAGAAAAACAAATCTAGTTTAAAGTAGGACTTCTGCTAAACTTAAAGTCAGAGAATCACTTCGGAAGATTAAAAAAAAGGGTCCGATCAAAGATAAAATGTACTGAGGCACCAATATCAGAGATTCAACTCAATAATGAAACACTAAATGTTCACTTACTGATGAGTTAATTCATGGTTACAAACAGAAGAACACCACAATTTAAATATAAACAAAAATAAGAGGAACATTTGTTCTTATTTGCTTCATGCATGAGGCCCATTTTGTGCGATCAATTACTTAAACAATGAATATATCATCAAAATTGTTGTTAGGTTAATTATATAACTGATAAACAACATTACAAATGTAAAAACACTTGTTCTATTTCGATTATGTTGTTTTCCTAATCGTTGCAAGTCAAAATCGTAATTGCGATTAAAATATGATTAAAGGTAGGGTAGGTAAGAATGGAGAAACCAGCTCGAGTGCGCTAGAATTTGAAAGTGAAAAATCTGCCCCTTCCTTCAGACTTCCTTACAGAGCCCCTCCTCCAACACACACGAACGCGCACATGACCAATGAGGGCACGAGATAAGTTTGTGCACAGATGGAAGGCTGACAGGCAGGTAGGCCATCCAGTTACTTTAGCCGGGCCGGCTCATATGATTGGTCTTGCTTTTTACAGCGCCAGTGCTTCCACAGATGACATTTTTTATGTATTTATTGTCAAAGCATTTAATGTATTCATTGCTATCGGGATGTTAAGAGCATTCCATGGAATATAACAAAAAGTGTTTCTGAAGTGAATTACCTACCCCACCTTTAACTGAGCAGCCCTAAAAGCAGTCCTCTCTCTCTCTCTCTCTTCTACAAGCTTTATCTCCATAACACACATGAACATTATATGAGAGCAGTCAGCTGTGTGCTGCATTCCAAGCAGCCATCACTGTGAGCCGTTCATGCTGTATTAGCCTGATATGAGGCATTAAGACTCTGCAGCAGGAAAAAAAAACAGATGCTGATGCAAGCCTGCAACCTGCCGAGCAGCGGGGGGGTTCTGTGCAGGGAAGGAGAATATGTTTTCCCTTCATCAACAACAACTGAATTCAAATCAGAAGAGCCCCATTCTGCTCCAGATGAGATGTTTCATGTGCAGCTGCATCACTGACAGGAGGCAGCGTGGAGATGAGAATGAGCATGCACTCTCAGCAAACCTTCCCTGGAGGATTCCCAAAATAAAAACAGACTCATGAGGAACCAACATGGCGGCTCTGGCTTCGACAGCGGACTTGAGGAGTCAAGCTGCATAATAACAGACAAAATGGAGATGAAGAGAAACTGGTTTGGAGGGCTGGGGATGATGAAGGTGAAAACATGTATGAAGCCGTGATAGGCTTTAGGAGCGTACCTGCTTCTTCTGCAGTAGGGGCATGTGCGTGCCCTGCAGGGGGAGGAAGGCAGGGGAGAGTAAGACAAAGGGTGAGGAGAGCAGGGGGACAGGCAGTGCCCATCGTGGGGGGGGGGGGGGGGGGGGGGGGGGGGTCACATATGACGTTGTATTTTTACTACAATGCTTTTCAGGAAGGGAGAACAAAAGAATCAATACTACAAAGTCAAATCAAGTAAGAGTACTAAATTATTAGCGTAGAAATATACATATTGGTTTTAGGGATTGAAGCCCATAACTGGTCGAGTGTCTTATTCTGCAGAATGGCCCATTTCAGAATCATATATATATATAAATGTTACAGCTGGTTATGGCCTTATGTAATTGCCTTATACTATTGGGGAGGGTAGATTTATATTTGTATTAATAATCTAGATGTGAAGAATAACTATAAATACATGTAAGAAAACAATGAATAATGTTTGTTTCAAAGAGCAACTGACATTTTTAATTAAAGTTAAAAGGTACTTAGTTACATTCCACCACTGCTGCTGCTGCTTTTAAATCTCAATGTCACATCATTATGAATGATACACTAATAAGCATATTTCATTGGTATATTTGCAATATTACATTTAATAGTTGTGGCAAACTGTTAGAGGCAAACAAAGTGAGATATCAATCAGCCATTTGAACAAACACATGTGGAATCTGATTGCATTTACAGACGGGGGGTCTTACTGCTTCTTTAAGACAGTGACAGGGGACAGAAAGGAAATGTAGGGAAAGAGCAATGTGTATTTGCTTCCATGTGTAATGCGCCATAACCTCTCAGCTATTGGGAGTTTTGTTTGCTTTAAGTTCAGTTTCAAATATATTCACAAAGCTGAAGTCATTTATTATAACCAGTGTACCTGCAATAGTGCAGCCTACGCCTCTGAGCGTTAAGATGTGTTTGTGTTCTGGTACGTCATCATACCGTACATTCTTTGCAGGTTAATGTCAAATACATGTGTTTATTTGAGTATGAGTATAATTGTTGCAGTATGTTTACTGGGAGGAGAGTGTGTGTTTCGAGTCTGACCTGAAGCCACAGCATGGCAACGTGAGGAGGCGCAGCACGGCCAGCAGCACCCTGAGGGGCAGCAGCGTGAACACGTACAGGAAGGCGTCCACACACAGGAAGAAGCCAAATGTCATCAGCTGTGTCAAACAACGATATGCAGAAAGAAAAAGCTCCAGATTAAAAGAGAATAGCCTCGGGGGGGAACAGTCTTAAAAACATTGACTCATCATCACCTTTTTCCCCCAGTGTCAAAAGGACAACAGCAATACAAGAATATAATGAAATATCTGTGACCTGCTCGATGGAAATCAGTCGCATTGACCCGAAGACACATTTTGAGTTGTATACACTGTTGGCAAGAGGAGATTCCTAGCTTTCTAATGATATCAGGATTGTTGTTGTCTCTGTTGTTCTACTCCAAATATTAAGCAAAAATATGCCACATTATATAATGACTGTTAGAGTCATCATTTTGAGGAATCATCGATCTGATTGATTATTAGTGGAGAGAATGATCAAAGTAGTACGGAGGGAAAATATTTTCGTTTGGATTACTGGTTTTGGGGAAGCTTGCGAGTGTTTGTGTGAGTGTGTGTTTGTGTGTTTTTGGTTTGTGTGTATTGTGTTGGTTTCCCGGGGAAACCACTCACGAGAAACACCGGCTGTCGTTATGCCTGCTGTGACGTCAAGTTACTCCGTTCTCCGCTTGTAATTATGCCGTCACAAGCTTCAAAGTTGTATTTATCATCTGAATTTGCCGAAACAAGTTTAATATTCTGAAAGCCAAGACTTTGTTTAATTGAAATCAGATGAAAACAAACTGTGAGAGGTGTAATCTTCCCTTTACAAGCTTCAAAAATGTATTTATCGTGTGATTTTGGAAATAAAAGTTTCATATTTTGAAAGCCAAGACTTTTTTTTTTTTTTTAAATCAAACAAAACACCAGAACCCTTTTTTTACGCAAATCCACGTTTATTTTGAAATGAGCCGTTGCGACTTCCGACTGATTTCGATAGAGCGGGTCACGAGATGAGGACACACACGTTTCTTCACAGCTGAAACTGAGTTCTAGCTGAAAAAGAAAAAGTTTTTTAGGATGTCACATCTTTGTTCCATCAGAGAAGAAGCCAGCAGAGTGTTAATAACCACCACCTGAATCCAATTAAGCAGCAAACACATACCTTCATAGTTCCCCACATACATACAGCCATTGCCTTGTCATTTTCAAAAGTAATGAGTAAATCTAAGCCAGCTGAAGTCTTCTTGCTCCTACTTCTAACTGGGAAAAACATGGAGGCACTGATGTGAGTTTTGGTGGGAGGGTTAGTCTCTTATTGGTGGATTCTGTGTGAGTGCCCATGACGTTGGTTGGTCTGCGTAACATAGTAAAGGCACTGAGGTTTTTAATGTTTACACACATTCCTCTCCTGCCCCCCAAAGGCAGTGAGAGCTGCGTTACTCTGGGCTCGCTTGTTCGGATGTAGCTCTGCAGAGAGAGTCAACTCAACTCCAGAAACAATAAACAAAGACACAGAGAGGAGCGCCAATGACCACACTGAGAGACTTGTAAGCATGTGTTCTGTGTAATAGTCTAGGTAAGGCCTCCTAACTGGTCATATGTTAGCCCTTTTAAGATATATCAGTCATGTATCATTGTAAACAGACAGATTCCTAGAAAGAGGCAACACACACAAATCCACATTTTGATGTGTCTACACTGCCTCCTGGTGGCTCATAAGAAGAACAACAAAAATAAACAGCTGTCAGTCAGCCACATGGCCATTTAAAAATAATAATAATATTGTTTTACACACATCAATTAATGAATTCAACAACATTGATGCAGTGTGTATATGCACCGTGTACTTGGGAATGTACCACATTATTTCTTTACTTACAGATTATTTTAAATATATGTTGTTTTATTTACTATATCGTGTCTTAAACTAATGACAATACAACATTCAAGAGTTACATTTTATAGTTACAAACTTAATCTGACTAACTGCTAATACAGCAAAACTTATTATGATATTGAATACGTTGAATCTTTATTTGAGAAGCTTTAACCAACACACCTTTGGTATGGAATGCTTGATAAATGAAGCTTGAACATTGCAGGACATTGAGAAGGATTACGGGCTGACTGTGAGCTGTGAACTGAATGAAACGATGACAGCACACAGCAGATAGATGGAGATGACTGAAGGGAAACAGGGCAGATGTGTAGGGAAACTATGAATAATGATGTATCATTCACATGTTTACCTTCTCCAGCTCCTTGGGAATGCGCATGCATGTGTAAACTCTCTCTCTGCGCTCCGTGTACTTTGCCTCATTGTGCTCCAGGAAGTAGCCTCTGGTGAGCTCTGCGCTAATGAAGCGAGTCAACGATGGATCTGGAACAACATCAGAGCACATTGTTAGCACAAGGGCATTGTCTGCAACAATTACAACCACAGCCTCAGCCGTCCACACAATGAGAGCCCCAACATTTCAGAGCGTTACAGTGCAGGGTGAATGAGAAGGAAACTTCTCTGAGTGGTGAGGACAAATGTTCTTAGCTGGCTGTTTGATGCCATGCACTGCTGAACATGCCAAAGGAAAGTCTTTGTGGTGAACAGTAGGTTTTGTTAAGGCAAACATGACTGATAAAAGTACCTAACGTGGTAGTGACAGTTCATTTTCTTGTTTGATTAATCTACAGATTATTAACTTAAATGTAGCCTTCAGTTAGAAAACCCATTACAATAAGAACATATTATTAGACTTTGTAGATTCATCAATAGATATATATTTTTAATATGATTATTTTAGGAGCTTGTGAAAACAAATAGCAAGAAAGAAACACATTTGAGAAGCTTAAAGTGCACCTATCATGCTATGTTTAGTCAATAGCATAGGTCTCACCGTCTCAGATATTTGAAAATATATAAAAAACATGTCTATGAAGTGTTTTGCTCAAAATACCAAACAGATCACCCATTCTGGCCATGCCTCATATCCCTCTATTTCACTTCCTGTTTCAAAAGGGCTGATTTGGGGTCTAAAGCTTTAAAAAAGAAAATTTGATTTAAAAAAAAAGGAGGGGGCTGAGCTCATGCGGGAGATTCTACCGGCAGATACTGCGGTGATGAAACACCATATCATGGATTATCAAGGAGTATTTCTGAAACAGTATGGAGCTCAAAGGCTTTCTCTCTTGCCGGTTATACCACAAGGTGAGGTCCTTTTTATTTCCTGCTTCTTCACACACATGCTCTCCAGTACAGGTTAGCTCTGAGTGTTAGCGATGCTAATGTAAACACCGACCATAGTACGTCCAAAACAGTCGGGCATTGTTTCTGATAGCAACGTTTCTGATTGGNAAAAAAGGAGGGGTCTGAGCTCATGCGGGAGATTCTACCGGCAGATACTGCGGTGATGAAACACCATATCATGGATTATCAAGGAGTATTTCTGAAACAGTATGGAGCTCAAAGGCTTTCTCTCTTGCCGGTTATACCACAAGGTGAGGTCCTTTTTATTTCCTGCTTCTTCACACACATGCTCTCCAGTACAGGTTAGCTCTGAGTGTTAGCGATGCTAATGTAAACACNCCACATTTCTGATATTACGTCATATCGGACGCAAATCTGGATCAGCTCCGTTGTAGCCCCGTTTCTAGAGATTTGGGTACGGAGGAAAAGAGAGAGGGTTTTATTTTCTGACGCTGTGTGAGTTCCCCGAGACACCGGGGACACATGTTTATGTATAAAAGACATCAAAAAGTGTATTTTGCATGATAGGTCCCCTTTAAACTGCAGAATTGTAGGATTAAAGAAAATGTATGGATTTTTCTGTCAATCAAGAAGTTATTAATCTGAGAGTGATGTAATACACTGATACAATACACCTTGTAAAGAAAGGCTTTTTAAAACCATGAGAGAGATTCACAAAACTGACAACCTGATTTTGTGGACCAATTAAAAGATTGAATATATATTGTTATAAACAATTATAATACATGCAACAGACTGCAATAACAACAGACTGAACAAGAAACTTGTTTCAGTTGTAAACAGTGTCTCAGTCTCACTTCATCCTAATTGCCCCATACTGTGTTACAATTANTCAAAGGCTTTCTCTCTTTCCGGTTATCCCACACGGTGAGGTCCTTTTTATTTCCTGCTTCTTCACACACATGCTCTCCAGTACAGGTTAGCTCTGAGTGTTAGCGATGCTAATGTAAACACCGACCATGTTACGTCCAAAACAGTCGGGCATTGTTTCTGATAGCAACGTTTCTGATAGGGCCGTGGGTCCACATTTCAGATATTACGTCATATCGGACGCAAATCTGGATCAGCTCCGTTGTAGCCCCGTTTTTAGAGATTTGGGTACGGAGGAAAAGAGAGAGGGTTTTATTTTCTGAGCTGCGTGAGTTCCCCGACACATCGGGGACATCTTTATGTATAAAAGACATAAAAAAGTGCATTTTGCATGATAGGTCCCCTTTAAACTGCAGAATTGTAGGATTAAAGAACAATTATGGATTTTTCTGTCAATCAAGAAGTTATTAATCTGAGAGTGAAGGCTTTTTAAAACAATGAGAGAGATTCACAAAACTGACAACCTGATTTTGTGGACCAATTAAAAGATTGAATATATATTGTTATAAACAATTATAATACATGCAACAGACTGCAATAACAACAGACTGAACAAGAAACTTGTTTCAGTTGTAAACAGTGTCTCAGTCTCACTTCATCCTAATTGCCCCATACTGTGTTACAATTATTTCCACTTGCTATTCTTTATAACTGGAGATATATTCATTTTACGCTAAACATCACATGACCTAACAGTAAACTGTTGGCTCAACAAGCAACAGTTCAGCTGTTAATGTCGTAGTGGCACAGCGAGCTGTAACACGTTGGTGTTTAGTGGGATTACAGTGAAAACAGCTACATGTAGCACCACACACATGCCTGGGTTACAAAGATATTTACACAGTAGAGTAGAGTAGGGCCTGAGAACATTACAATACATATTTTTTAATGTTAAATTCAACTCAGCTTACAGTGTCTTTAGTAATTGCACTTTATACTGTCCAATATTTACTTAATAGTGTTTACCTAACCTTTACGTTTCTTTTCTTGATGTGATAAAATCATAATGTGCCAAGTCAAATGAGGGTCCATGTTTACAGGTCGGTGTCAAACCATATTGTGTAACTAAAGGACAAGTTATGATTAGGGTTATGCATTATATAAACTCTTTTATGATCATGTATTTTCATAGCTGTGCCTGTGACCATCATGGTGGCTGCATGTATTTAGATAAAGTCAGAAATGTTGATAGCTGAGATTTTGATGTATTTGAATCTGTGACCCATATGCTTGAGTAATGTTAAAGCATTCACTCTAAGACAAATCAAGACTCTGAGACTAAACCAAACTGTATGTTGACATGTGAGGTGTCACTGAAGTAAAGCTGCAACTAGCCTAATGATTATCTTCAGTATGAGATAAACGTTTCTCTATTAATTGAGCATTTTGTCCACAAACTGCTAATGTAAATGTTAACAGTAACACTCCTGCTATAATGTAGGTGGCTTATTCAGATGTCCTGTTTAGTCAGACCCACATTCAGAAAACTATTTTCAGTCAAAACTTAAAAGCTGGAACTAAACGGGAAAAGTACGGGGAAAAGTACTCCGGTGTGAAAGCGCCTAATAGGTGCCAACTAATTTTCTGTCTATCAACTGATCATGAGGTAATCGAACTGTGGGTGTCCTTTGTGCTATCATCTTGTCTATGCTCACATTTATATTCTTTACACCTATCATAGTGTGTGATCTTTAAACGGGGATAAAGCCATGATTCAAATGTTTTTGCACAGACAGTACAACCAAAATTCATCAGGTCACACCATCTGACGTGTGACACCTGCAAGGCATGCTCTGTGGACATCTTGTAGTGAAAACTGTGGTTAGATAGTTGATGTCATGTATTACACAATATTTACTGCTAAGTGAACTTTAAACAGATATCACTGCAGGCACGGTTTATGAAGGCATGCAAACTAACTTTAGGCATTACTGCAGTAGATTAGTGAACTCGTTTTAAACAATGGCTTCATTGAGTTGTGTTTAATTAACAAGATACATTGATTATATGTGTAGAGGTTTTACTGCTTTACATACTTGTATGTACAATGAACACACAGTATAAGGAATGTAGCTGCTTTATTGTGAACCAGCCGCAGGTACATAGCAGTGGTGTAAGGTGACTAGTACATGTATTCAAACACCGTACTCAGCACAATTTTGAGGGACTTGTACTTTACTTGAGTATTTTTGCTCCTTTGTACTTCTACACTACATTTCAGAGGTCAATTGTGTACCTTTTTCTCCATGCCATGTATTTAATATCTTAAATAAGTTACTTTGCAGACTTTGATTATTGAAGTGAATATAATTAACAATAAAATAAGACTTTATTTAAACCTGGAGTGAAGCTACCCTGCAGCATGCAAAGGATTACAATTAGTTACACTTTTACACACATTAATGCACCAATAATATAACCAAAACATATGAAATATTATTCTGAAATGGGCCAATCTGCAGAATAAGTATTTTTACTTTTGGTACTTTAGTATATTTTGATGCTAATACTTTTGTACTTTTACTCGAGACATTTTGAATGCAGGACTTTTACTTTACTACACTCTGTTATTGCTACTTTTACTAAGGTACAAGATCAGAGTACTTCTTCCACCTCTGGTACAGAATGCTGACTACTAACTGACAAAGTGACCATAACCCCACACACCTCACTGGGTATCACACTTACTAAGGTAGGCCACCTTAGTAGCAATGGATAAAACACTTATCATTCACCAAATGATCTACAATTAGATAATCAAGTCTCAGCTTTAACTAAATAACACTACTCCAGAAGCGTTACTAACTTTAAAAGTACTTTAACGGTTCATATAATATACGTTAAGTCACATCACTATTAATGTTATAATGCTAACAGCGATCAAACTGAAACCCATTCCAGCCGTTGGTTCGCTGTAACGTCGGTAACGTCAACGGTTGTTACCTGCTGCCTCCCGTTGCTCCCTCCTCCTGACAGCGCTTATATCGTAGAATCCCAACGTTTCCGGTAGGTCCGGAGTTATACCGATTTTACCGGACTTGTGCAACTCGTCCCACGGTCGTTTCTGTCTTTTCTTCAGCTCAATTTCTGCTTCTTTCTCCTCTGACAGCTCGCTCCCCGACACGTCCGCCATCTTTACTTCGGTCGCTGCGTCGCCTCGTGCAACGTCATCGCACTACGGGTAAAAACAAATGACGTAATAACGTGAACGTGACTAGCAGGTAGAATTAACAGATTTTGATTTTATTCATATTAGTTTTTTTAAATCCCTTGAGAACAACTTGGGAAAACGTCATTTCATTAGAAGCTATATATTTTTCTAAATGAATTATTATTCAAATAATTTATATTTGTAATGTTTTGGTCTCAACCTACTACACAATTAACAACATTCTCAAAGCCAAATTACAGGTAAAGAATGAACGGTTGTCACAAAAGAGTTCTCGATTTATTAGAATGATTTTTCTATAAATCCAGTACTCTTTTGTGATTAATACATTAAAATTAACATTATCATGATTACGTTTATGAAAGGTTATTCACCTCTGCAATTCAAAACATTGTTATATCAAAAAAGTAGAAACAATTTTTCTTTGCTGGGAGGGGGGACACCTTGAATTATTTGTATTTGACAGTCGGATCCAAATCTATTTAGCTTTAAGAGGTTTGTGAGAAAAATAATAATAACACGAATGATAAAATAAGTATATGAAGATGCAGTAGCCACTATACTCCACTTGGTGTCGCCAAAGTTCCATCAAATCTTCCTAGATTTAAAGTCTACCCAACAACAGAGTGTTTCTCAGAGTTATCTGAACAACTTTGCCGAGTACTTCATACTTTTTTGCATGTTCTCAGTTACTCAGCAAAAGTATTCAGGTAACTCAGGTAAGAAGATGAAGGATACATGCAGCTATAAAATCCAGATTAAAATGTTCTAATGTTTAATATCCTTATTGATGTGAAGAAACACAAATACAACCAACTAGTGATGATCTGTACATTGTTTGCAGTGTCAGTGTCCTACTACATAACTGCAATAGCTCATGAAGCACATTCCTTTGACTATTTTTTTATTCTGCACACTTCTACCACTTTTAAATGCAAAAAACTGTACATTTTGTTTCACAGAAATGTGGCATAAGCGATGTTTGCTCTTATTTGACATTTTAATGTATCTCATTGTGTTGATGTATACCACAGACAGTACAAAGCATATTCCTTGTATGTGAAAACGTACTCGGCACTAAACCAAATTGTGATTCTGAAGGATTCAGAAAATCCACACCCAAATGCACCTCTAGTATTATGTCATCTTAAAACTCCAGTTCTTAATTGTGATTTCCAAGGAGTAGGGGTGCATGAACCTGTAGTTAAGATGTTGAATCAAAAGTGAATGTACAGTTTGAGCATATCAATAAAGTAAGCATAATGAAGTATTGTTTGAATACTGGAGCACGTTTATGATAAAGGTCACACTTCATACTTAAAACATGAATTATCTTGCAAGCTCGTCTTCGGAGGGTTCTTTGGGTCAACATATCTTTATTTTATCTCTGAATGATTAAATATCAGAAGAAAGGGGCAGCTTCAGAAAAAAGGCATTTGCTCTGTGGGAGACTTACACCAAAACATGATGTTTTATACAAGGAAGAGGGGAAAATTAGCACAACACTTGCTTTATAGATTTTTCTACATACATTTGAGTTGCTTAGGTTTCAAATTCACAATTTTTAGCCATAAGGCAAATCAAATTTCCAAAATTGCATCAGTAAAACTGTCTCACTGCAACGTCCAGTTAGCAGCTGTTGAAACGCTTTCAGTTGAACGACACTTTCCTCCTCGATAGATGTGTCTATATCCAGTCCTGGAGCATTTTAAGGACTTCCCTCTCATGTAAAATGATATAATCTGCTGTTTCAAGGTCAGCGTTTTCAATGATTCGTCCAAAAAATCGGAGCTAAAAGTAAGAAGAGCAAATAATAAACAGATGCTGCAAGCACACATGATACATATGAGCAAATCCAACTTCTTTTGTAAGCACGGTTTATTGGCACACATAATGGTAAAGCATACATACCAGACATCAGATATGACACTGAACACCTCTGCTATATAATGTACAAATGGTGTCTAATAATACTAGGCTCAAACATATTTAGAAATGTGTTAGCTTCCTTACAAATGCACAAATAAATACCCATAAGATCCAATTGTAGAAAGACATAATGTCGCTGACTCAGATCAGGGATATATTATCAATTCAATTAAAGATTAAAGAACAATTGTGAGCACAAAGACGGGGATATCAAATGTTTTCTGTGGGGCGGATGGGATTTTGTCTGTGCTTTGTTTCTCAAAATGTAAAATTGTTTTGTTCTTTTGTCACAGAATATACAAGAAATGTGACTTAACGTTGTGGCTTTGGTTGTGCACTAGCTAGAGAAGATGGGAGACATCAGAGGGTTTTGTTTTTTGAGCGAAGCAAACCAGCGTCCATCCAAACCACCCGACAGAAATCTGATCCTTCTGCGAAAAACAAAACAGCTGCCATATCCAAACTGGTTTCAGTGGCTGATTTACAGTGGACAAAATAGCCTCCACCTCTATTTACAGAGCTACACACCTTGTAACAGTGTTCCCAAACTGATGAACCCAAAAGGAAAATCAGACTTGATGTGTTTTTTTAAAAAGTACATATATCAAACGAAATGAAAATCCTATAAAATCATGCAGGAAAAAGGCTTTAGTATCAGTTTGGGAGTAGGTCGTTAAAGGGAAAGAAGTCAAATTTTTCGAAAGGAGAGGGGAAAAAAAACATTAATCCATGTCAGCAAAGTTCGCATACTGACCGGCAAAAATTACAACGTGACTGCAAAGGATTCTGAGAGAAGCAAAATACCAATAGACTACGAACACAATCAAACTGGTTTGCATGAAATCACAATCTGTGACGACCGCGGTAATGTGGAAAAAACCATCCTAGGACACGATTTCCCGTCGTTTGAATGGAGTCGATAGCGGTAGAGAACTTTTATTCCCACTTAATTGGAAATGGAAATAAACAGCAACAGGAGAAACGAAACAACCGCCGACTGGATTTCCAATAAAAATGCAATTGCCTCAAACAATGCTTCATTTGTCTCCAATGTGGTTCCACCAGCTCTGTTAAAAACGCTTCCCTCCGTTGCCTTGACATTTTGTTTGTTGTTTTTATTCTTCTTCTTTCCTCCCCTCTGCCTACTGTCAGCATGATGACTTGTGACCTGCAGGTCAACCAATCACAGCCGTGCGATCCACCAGACCAGAGCTTTCACTGAGGGAGCATTTGATCCACAATTCCCCCCCCCCAAAAAAAACCCACCCACGCCTTGTTTTTTTTTTTACATTACAGGTGCATAGGACTCATATGCATTTGTTGTCTCTCGGGATATTGCTGTGCCAGTTCTCCAAGATGTTTCAGTGATTCAGAGAAGAAGAAAATATCCAGAATATTTTTCGGCCAGTGGTGAGTTTTTCTGATTCAGTACAATGTTATGAGGCCCTCAGGGAGGGAAGGGGGAGGTTCAAAAGTCCAGTCCACACGGAGTCAGGGTCTTCTTCTTCTTTTGTTTTTACTGCGAGGGCTGAGGCGCCGTGCTCTCCGGCTTGCTGTCCTGGCCGGAGGACGGCTTGCTGCTCCAGTTGTTCCCCAGAGACGGGGAGCCGTTGAAGTCGTCCTCGTCGTCCAGGCCGTTGGTGGCGTCGTACTGCGTGTTCTCCAGACGGGTGATCAGACGCTCGTCCTCGTCCCCGAACTCGCCGCCCATCAGGGTCGGCTCGCCCACCACCATCACGTCCTGAAAACAAGGAGGAGAGCACGTTTACAGACTGAAAAGTAAGTAAATGACTAATGTTTGTGGGTTCACATGAGGTTAGTTATTGTGTTGTTTACAACTGTTTTATCCTACACACTGTAAGACTTCCACTTCATTTGTTTCAATAGAATCATAGGATGCTAGGTTTTTAGTTTATTAAAGGTCCCATGTCATGCTTTTCCGGTTATTACCCGTCCCCTTGTGTGTTATGAAGGTTTTTCTGCATGTAAGCGGTCTGCAGAGTCAAAACCCTTAAAGTACACCCTGTAGCGAGTAAAACTCTAACACAGAAAATACCTCCCCAAAGCGCCTCGTTGGTGAAACGTCATCATCCATTTGATTCTTCCGGGTACGTGCTTACGAAAGCACGTACCAGGAACTAAATGGGCCAATCCGTGGAGCTGTTACGTTACGTCCGTGGAGCCGTTACCAAATTGACCAATCCACACACACACTCAGTGCAGGCAGCTCTGCTGATCTCTCCTCCCTGGCTGCAGGCTGATAACAGACAGTTGGGATCGCGCGAAATTCTCTCTGCAGACCCATTCTCACAGCGTTTATCAACCTATAAACCTTTTTCTTACTCGATATCAAGCCACACTTATTGTTTTTATTTCGGCTGTGACTTTGTGTGTGTTCAGGTTGAGTTTGGCTGTGTATCGCTAAACAAGGAAATCACACCTCCACAGAGCTCAGCGCGATTCGTACCGACCAATCAGAGCACACTGGGCTCACAGGGAGGGGGGGAGAAAGTGGAGTTTAGTGGAGAAAGTGAATACTGCTGAATACACATACTTTACAGAGATGCTGTATGCGAAACCAATGTGAGTTTGGAAAATTGCACAGTATTTTCTATTTTTAGTATACCTCAACAATGGAATTATGATCAGTGGAAATGGCCATGACATGGGACCTTTAAGGTAGCCACCTCTAAGATTGAAATGTTTCGGGTGAACATTAATATCCTACTACTGAATTAAGCAACTTATAATTTAACATTAGATCTTTACAAGTGCTCTGCTTAAGCAACCGGCTGACCACAGACAAGTGATTTGAAATAAATAAATTGCTTTGGCAATCTAAAAAAAACATTTACTATGAGTTAAAGGAGAACAAAAAACACAAATCAGACCCATTTATACTCAGGAAAAGAATCATTTAAACTAATATTTATCAGAAATACTTCTACTAATTAAGACATTTGTTTGTCCTTCCTTGAGGAAAGTATGCAAAGAAATATCATATTTAGTTTTTATTTAAATATTTAAGTAAAGATTAATGAAAGAGATGTTTGAAGTCTTATTGCTAGGCTCCAGCTTACCATACATAGACACAATCTTATCAGAATACTAACATATGTTAAGATTTCCCCTCTTGCTAAATGTGCTTACTTATTATGAAACTTAACCCACTTTCTGACCAGTTTAACTTTCTTAAAACTGTCTAACCTCTGTTTTACAAAAATAGTACATACATATAATCAATTTCTACACGAGCACCGTGACATGTTTTCAGATTCGTGCAGGAGCGCCCATATTTAGCCTCGGGGCGATTCAGAATTAATATGCTAAAGTGAGAGAGAAATCACCAGAGAAGAAATGAATGCATATCTGTTTCATCTGAGACCAAAGCAGCGTCTGAATATCAAGCTAACAAGACCTTTTAACATGTGCATTACTTCAGATACATGAATATGCATGTTGTCTATTTCACATTGAGAAAGAAATAACATATTTTAATCAAATGTAGGGTTATAAATACAACAAGGTCATGAAGAGGAACATTCACAACTCTTTCAATCAGCAGCTCATGTCTTTACAGTGTTTGATCTATTTCTGTGTTCATGTTTTCTGTCTCCCAACTGAGCGAGAATCTGCTACGATGCAAAGGATTTCTCAACACAGACCCCCTGTTGCAGAGTGTGTGTGAGTGTGTTTCAGTGTGTGTGTGTGTGTGTGTTTAGGACAGATGTTTGTGTATGCAGTGAACCTCCCTACGGTCGTCCCCTCAAATGAAACCTTCCCAAAGACAGAGCGGATTCCCCCCAACACTCTGCCCCCCTCCCCCCCTCGATCAATACTCATCATGTACGACATATCTCACAGACGCTCCTCTCACAGCCGGTCGAGGAAGAGGAGGAGAGATTTAAACATTATCCAATGACACCTGGGACTCCAGTGATGAGCATTTAGCAGTGGGGGGTGTGACTAAGGACATTCACTGTACTGTGCTTAATTTAACCCTCCTATCGTCTTCGTTTCCCCCCTTACTTTGGTGTTCGTGGTCAAATTTGACCGGTCCTGTTTTAACTGCTATTACATAAACACAAAAACCATTAATCATCACCACATTTCATTTAACAGCCTTTCAAACTGTACATATTGTATCAGACTACTGGTATACATGAACAACTGCAGTAAATATACAAAGAATAGACACTGAACATGTATTGCATGTGCCAGGTGTGATCCATGTGGGGGGATGGGCACATAAGAGCGGGAAATGTGTCAAATTGTTCTGTGTGTGTGTGCGTGTGTTTGTGTGTGTGTGTGTGTGTGTGTGTGTGTGTGTGTGTGTGTGTGTGTGTGTGTGTGTGTGTGTGTGTGTGTGTGTGAATATCCTCTGACTGACTAAGCACCTCCTGTTGGCCCCACCCACTGTAACCCAGGAGGAAGCGCTACAGTTAAATGGAGCGCACGCTTCACTGGCCTAGTGTGTCAACGCTGCCCGCTCTCCTCAGCTCATCTCCTCCGCAACACGCACGCATGCACACACACACACACACACACACACACACACACACACACACACACACACACACACACACACACAAACCCAGATTACTGTACAATCACACACCTGCACTGAGTCAAACACTGTGATTAACCCTTTGTCTTGTACACAACAAAGTACACACACTCACACAACATTGTACAAACAAATCCAACACATACACACATCATCACTTCCAGCTAGCTTTGATGTAAACATACAAACAAAACTACACAACTTAACACCCTCCCCCTCCCGGCAGTTTATTTATTTATCGAAGCCATGCCCAACCCCCCCTAGCGACCACTTCTACACCCCACTATGCTTTAATCAGGCTAATTAATTTAGGTGAGCTTTTCAACTAAATGACAATATCCACACTGATTTGTCAATTTGCATAGCTAATTAAGTCATTAGCTAAAAACGTGCTGATTGCCAACAAGCCATGCATCCGCCATCTGTTCCTGAGAGGAGGCCTGTCAACCTACCTCTGGCCAATCTCGGGCCAAAAAAAAAGAGTCCTCAGACGATAACAGCTGGTGGCTAGTCTGAGACTGGGGAGCGCTAATTGTGAGATAATTAATACTGTCAACTCGTCTACTCATCTCGTTAAGAGTTAGCTTTAGCGCTAGCTTAGCAGCGACTCTTTCAATACCGGCCTCCCTGAACGGAGTCATTAGCTTATTTTACAGAGATTAGCCATGTGTAGCTTGGAGGACATGTTGGTTTCTCATGCCGCCAAAACAACAAGTGGGAATTTAAAAAAGGCGGGATTGTGACAACAAAAGGGGCCAGAGAACAACATTGTCCAATAAAGCGGCAAAAATAAGGAAAACACAGTTAGATATAACAATAATATACTTTAAAGTCAGCCCCTCTATCCGATTTTAGAGAAAGGTAAAGCATCTTCAGTTTACATTTTCGATATTAGTTCGATTTTTTTGGCTTTTATTGTCAAATCAATACTTTCATAAAATAGCAGGGAACTTTAGTTTTGATCTAAAGTTACTCCAACAATAGAGGAAGAACATAGTTGTCTTGGACTATTTTCAGTGGCTGATTAATTCATATATGGATCTCAAGCGAGTTTTTAAGGCAGCGGGCTGGTTTACCATGTGGGATTGACTCAAAATAAACTGCAATGCCCACGTTCATTTGAATGAATGAACAATCTTCAACAAAGCAGCTCATTCATGTTTTGAAACGTTTTGGACAACCACTTAGCTTTCTGGCACAGAGATATATAGCATTTGGATACCGAATACTTGTTTGTCGGGTCAATCGATTGTTTTCAGATGGGATTTGCTGACAATTATGAAAGTATAATATACCATCAGCCTCACCCATGTTACCATCTCAATACAATTACTAATTAAAACTATTTTTTGTGCGAGTATGCAACATAAATAAGACTATATGTGCCTTTAAATTGAATAGAGACTGTTTGAGTCTTCCTTTTTGTATAATAATTGAGCATATGCTGCTCCATAGAAGTCCAATTCCGAACCTTGTAAATGTAATCCTCAAAAGATAGCAGCAAATAGACAGTTATTTACTGGTTAGGTTAATATGTGTTGACTTAGCTTGAAATGCTCTGACTAACTGACAGCATGAAGAATCTGCTGCTTACTTTGGTCAAAGAAACAGCACGTTAGAAATGAATTCAGGCCACTAGAGGTCACTGTTGCACATCCTATGAGTTTCCCTCGCTGCACCTCCTCTCCTCCTCCAGCCATGGTATCCCCCCCTTGCGAGGGTCCACTCCTTATTGTCATTGGGCTCACGTAGGCTTGTGCTCAGCCACAAACGAACAACTTCTCAGACAAAGACAGCAGGCACGCAACATATGTAACCAGCATGTTACCAGCCACGCTGCCAGTCTTTAAGAGGCGTGTGAATGCACGGCATGAGTGCTACGGGGTGGGTGTGTGTGTGGGTGTGTGTGTGTGTGTGGGGGGGGCAGTGATGGAGTAGAGCGTGTGCATGTGACAGAGGAAGGGGCTGGGGGTGGAGGGTTGTATACAGATATCGGTGATAATGAGAGCTGGCACAGAGCCAAACTGCCTTCTAGAGAGAAAACAATTGCGCACGCTGTGTGTGTGTGTGTGTGTGTGTGTGTGTGTGTGTGTGTGTGTGTGTGTGTGTGTGTGTGTGTGTGTGTGTGTGTGTGTGTGTGTGTGTGTGTGTGTGTGTGTGTGTGTGTGTGAGTGTAATGTACATTATGTATGTGTGAGACGGAGAGGAGGAGGTAAGAGAGGAGAACAACAAATCTGGAATGATGAGACAGCTAACTGCGGGACAGAATATAGAGGGGACAGTACAGTTTGTGTGTGTGTGTGTGTGTGTGTGTGTGTGTGTGTGTGTGTGTGTGTGTGTGTGTGTGTGTGTGTGTGTGTGTGTGTGTGTGTGTGTGTAGGTAGGAGAAGAAAATACTGTTAAAATGCAAGAAAACATAATTTTTCTTTTGTTAAGTGCCAAGTGGATAAACAACTGGAACCATGCCTGGAAATTGGAGAGACGAGTCTACCCAGTATTATATTTCATCACCTAAATAAGACACCTACAGCAAGTTCTACAATGTGCCTTTATTCAACCCTGTTTCCCTACAAAGCATGTTCATATCTTACTTTGTAAAGAAAGAAACATAATGCTGCTAAGATTACATGTGTGAATCGACATAATGCTGTCAATCAATTAGCAGGACTCAACACATTGTTAATATCTACACTTCATGTATTGCATCTGCATATAGCTACATTGAGACAAACTCACACTGTCCGCTTACGGCTGAAACATCGTACACAACGTTTCAGTCTGTATGACCTTGATCAGGTACATAAGCAGCAACATGGCTCTCCCATAAATTTAAAAATATAACTACACTACAAGAGCTATACCTCAATCATCGAACGAGATTACTCCAGAAATTGATTTCACTGATGATCGCCTCAATCTTACTCAAATACTGCACTTCAGTCAGAAAAGAACATCAAAAAGATTAGAAAAATACAAAGTAACTCAATGCAATGATAGTAATAAATCCTACCTGTCATACATCTAAGCGAGCAAAGCATACTTTTGTTAGTAGTATTATTTTGAGCAACTGAAACATGAAAAGAACGTTTTAATGCTTAAGATTAGGCACTCAAAGCACTTTGGGAACGATTGTGGTCTTGATTAAATATGAAATATCTGATGTGAAGCACCACAAACATGTTTACTGAATTAACATTGGAGTACATTTAAAGTACTTTTGTGCCTCAGCCTCACAACACATGGGACTCGTGTCTCTGATGGTAAAGAGGGAACATAATCACGTCAGGAATGATGTCTTCAAAAATTAATGGGGAAAACAAATTAGTCCTATATAAATGTCCCTCCTAGTAAAGCTATAGTGGACACACTGTGTTTATAGAAAAGCATCAGCACCCTTAAAGCTCCCATCATGCAGAATGAATCCACAGATGGAGCACACATGAATGCCAACCTGCAAACCTTTAACAGCGTTTGGTATCGCAGCACACTTTCAGCTGAACTGCAGTGACCTGTGTTCAGAAACACCGGCATCCACGAAGCTCCAGAATAGCAAATTGGATGCAGGAGCGTAAATATACAGAATACAGCATGTGTATAATGAACGGTGTTTGGGAAAAAGGTAGAACATTAGAGCATCACATCCTGGAGGGGAGACATGTGGAGCAACACTCAGCTGTTTGAGAGGCTGTTTAACCTCTAACTGTGTCAAGTGGCCTGTTATGGAGACGTGCCGCAGAATCAGACATTCAGACCCTGAAGCTCAGTATGCAGAGTCACAAGGACAGTAGTTTCTTACTTATCTCAATGATAGCATTAGAGTAATATTCATTTTCTGTGGTGACTTGTATTGTTTTTATTGGATGTTGGTGCAAGCAGTTCAATTAAAGTGGTTGGTGGAAAATGTCCTGAATTAAAGGGGTTTCAAAATGACCTTCAAATAGAAAGATTGGATGTAAAAACCTTTGGTGAAAAGCTTGTAAGAGGATCCTTAACTCATCTTCATATTTAGGATTGACTTTCTAATGTTTGTAGTATGTTTGTAAAAAACGTTTTCATCAACAACAACAAATCTGAAAAAGAGAGAAAAGGACTACGACGTTGCTCCAATAACAGTACACAGGACATACAAAGGTAATATTTGATCAACTATTTTAACATTTGTGTTGGTTATTGCTAATGTTATTATATGAATAGACGTGTGCACAAATGGTAACCTAAATTGTCCTGCCTCAATGCAAAAATATCAGCACTTCCTACGTCACATTGAACATGTTTTCTTTATCCAATTTGGATAAAAATAATCTATTGTAAATTCATAAGGTTTTTGATTCTTTATATCTTTGAAATGAGTCTTTCTATTATTACCTATTATTTTATGCTCAATAATGGGTTGGATTAGTTTGGTTAAATGGGTATGTGTGGAAGACTATCAGTTCATCCAGTCTCTTTACATTCAGATGTACCAGATATACAGAGTTAATGTAACTCCTGCTTCAGTACGAGTCCTCCGGCAGTTGTGATATCAGTGACTCGGTCAACAGTGGTGTCTTGAAGAGTCACTTTCTCCACCCACACTGATCCTGAGATTTAAAAACTCTAGGATACATCCACAAGGTTTAGAAAACGGGTCAGCTTGGTCTTTTAAAACATACTTATAGTGAATTATTAGGGAAGAAACGGCTAGAAACTAATGAAAAAGCTTAACGTATTAATATAAAACTAGCTGTCGCAAAAAAACACTTCTATTCACCTTCTTTAATTCCTGTTTATAATATTATCCGTTCTTGTAATATGTTCCGCTTTGATGATTCTTAATGTCGTGTGTCTCACTCTTTATGATATTTCATTCGTTCTCTCTTTGTCTTTCCCGGCCACATGTTTTCCTACGAATCCCTGGAGGTTTCTTTGTCTCTCTGCACACATTTGAGTTTCTTTTCTCCCCCTGGTGCCTTCCCCCCCCCC